GCTTTTGTTATGAGCTAAATGAGATCTGACGATTTGTGAGCTTTTCTCTTCCTTTCCAGACTTTCACCTTCCAGCCTGAATGGTATGTCAAGTAACACACTATCCCTTTCAGCCTTCCAAGTGGAGCCTCAGTAAGAAACAGGGTCCAGGCTTAAATGAAGGAAGAAATGTCATGGTGTGTAATGAATCCCACATGGTGCAGTGTTATGAATTCAGGTAGAACTGTAGCTACAGATAGGATTTATTCTCCTATGAAATCTTTGGTGAGGTATAGCTCAGTCCTGCTTCCCCCCATGTGTCAAGAAAACGTCTGTTTTAGTTGGAAAATTATTGCAGCATATTACCATGATATGCCTGCTCTGGTCAATTCCTGTTTGTTCCCACATTCCTGAAATGTGGGACACCTCTGATTGATTGTTTCCTGTATATATACAAACAAAGGGATTGGGAAAGTAGCAGGCACATACCAGATCACATACCAGATCAAATAGGAAGCCTAAGGGGATCAGCATTACACTGCTCCTGAGCAGACATTCAGTCCAAGGCACAAGCTGACCCTTAAATAAATAAAAAGCATTGTGACTACAAGTTTATTTAATCCACCAAGGAGTCAAGAATGTGGCATTACCTCAACTGGTTTCTTCTTTAGGGCGTAAAACTTGGAACAATATTAACTTTTCCAAATTAAAAATTAAAGTGTTATCATCTGGGAATTGCTTCCCTCCTCTTGCTCCTGCCTTCCTCTGCTGTTTCTTCCAGTAGGAACTTACAAAGCTTAATTCTAACATTGGCTGGACCATAGTTTATTGGATGGCGGAAGGTGTTTCACATCCTTTAGCCTCACTAGTATAATCATCATTTTCTTCAAGTTAATGAATAAAGTTCCTGTTATTATATATATTTTCCTTCTAGTGGAGGGCAATAGTGTTATCTACTTCATGCACACTCTTCAGCACCACATTGTTGGAATGCCCTCAAGCACAATTTTATCTATAATAATATAATATTAATTAAAAAAAAAAAAGAACATTTCTCTTCCTCTGCTGCCTGCAGGACACAGATTGAGCTTCCTGGATTTTTCTGCTTGCTTGAAAAGGAGCAATTTGCATTAGATTTCAGGCACGTTGCAGTTTATGCAGTGTTTCCATCTTGACTTGCTGTAGCAGTGAGGAGAGGAACGTCTGTAAGAATATGTTCTTGTAGAGCACCTTTTATCCACTGCTCTCCAGATGCTTGAATCTCAGCTTAATTTCTCTACATCACTGGAAGGCAGCAGGTAGAGATTTAAGGGGGAGGAGAGGAGAGAACCAAGGCAGTTTGGTGCCTCCTTCCCCTGGATTCCACTTCCAGCTGTGCAGGAGTCCGACCAGCACCGTCTGAGTTTGCTCAGTGGGAATGGGGCTGGTCCAGCACTACCTGTCACAGTGGTTGTACCCTGCCATCATGGATGGGGATGAGTCACCAGAGCTGCCCAAATATCATCTTCCTCAAAATCTATGCAGGCTCTGAGCACGGTCCCATGCAAGTACCAAAACTGCTGTCACAGTTCTCTCTTGTGTGTGATGGGAAAGGTTCCCCAGTGGTAGTAAGCTGAGAGCACCACTACAGAGTAGACAAAAGGAAATATCTAGACAAAAGAAGAAAATCTCACAAATAAAACCCAAGGCTTTCCTTCTGAAAAATTCTTGAAGTGATGATACTCCAGGAAGTCCAGTTTCCTCTTTCAGTGAAGTGTAATGTAGAAAAGAGTAAAAAAAAAAAAATCTTGAAAGTATTTTGCCTCTTTTAAAATTTGTTTTATTCCCTGGTATATAATTTTTCTCCCTATTCCTTCTTTTCTTATTGCCCTGATATATATACATATATAGACATACATACATATGTATAATATGCATAGATATATGCATATAAGCTTCATACCAGCAAAGACATCAAGCTTTACCTTTGTAGAAAAATAAAAGACAGCAAGCTAATTCAATAGAAGATGCTGTTAATTATTAAAAATGCCATGATTTTTTGAAAGTATTTCACCTTATCTAAAGGGAACATATGAAAGTGCATTGAGCAATTAATTCAGCAGCTATAGTAGTAAAGTAAGGTTCTGCTAGAAATCACCTTTCTTCTCCCCAGATCCCTTTATTTCAAGTGATGCCAGTGAACTCTGGGACTTTTCATTGGATGGCTTACCACCTTTTCTCTTTTCACAGCAGCACTCAGAGGTGCAATTGAGATGCACCTCAATGGCAGCGCTGCTGAGTCTTATGTAGGCACACAGCAAGAAATCCTGCACAAACATAGAAGGTTTATGCATCATTAGTTTCTTAGCAGAAAAGAAAAGGCTGGTAATAAACAGCTAAGAAAGTTGAAGTTCTTCCTAAACTCCCAGAGTAGGTTATTGGCAGAGCTGAGATGGGCTTTAGGGTGACCATGGAGAGGGGACAGTATTTTGGCCACTGAATCACGCTTTCAGACACACCTATGTACACCTCATTATCTCACTTGGGTTCCAAAGAACCCCTTATTTAGCAGCACAGAGCAATACTTGGTCTACTTTAGCTTTTGATCAGCCCTAAATTGATCAGGCTGTTGGACTAGATCATCGTTGGAAGTCTCATCCAAGTGAAAATACTCTATTGTGTTTTGTTCTATTAATTTCTATTTTATTAATAAACAAGAAAGTTAATAATTATCCTGCTGTTAAGTGTAGACAAGCCAACATTTCCATAGAGGAGAGGAATATCACATCCAACAACATTAATTCAAATATTTTCCCCTGTTTCAGCAATGCTTCAGATTTTGTACTTCAGTTTAATAAACAAACTAGGGAAAATTTTACTTTATTGTTTCATTTGATCAAAGCAGCTTTCTGATATTTGCTAATTTGTCTCAAACATCCGCCATTAGAAGGCATGTGTCTTCCCTGTCAGATCCCTCCCTCTGTCTTTCATGAAAGGGTTTATATTGCTCAAAATTTTCTGGGACTTTTATAGTCTGACAGACTGCCTTATATTTTTCCAAATATGTCTAGTAAGAGCTGTCAAGGCCATGGAGAGTTAAAATGAACAGCCTGGTAATTTAATGGGAAGCACTGAAGAATCTTTGCCTATTAAAGAAAGAACATGTTGTATTGGGTTTGCATGGCCAGGTTTTGGTAGCAGAGGGGCTACAGGGGTGGCTTCTGTGAGAAGCTTTCAGAAGCTTCCCCCATGTCTGATGGAGCCCATGCCAGCCAGGTCCAAGACAGACCCACTGCTTGCCAAGGCTGAGCCCATTAGTGATGGCAGTAGCAACTCTGGGATAATGTATTTAAGAAGGGGGGAAAACAGTGGCAGAACTGCAGCTGCAGAGAGTGAGAATACATATGAGGAATCTCTGTGCAGACACCAAGGTCAGTGAAGCAGCAGGGGCAGGAAGGGCAGGAGGTGCTCCAGGTGCTGGAGGAGAGATTCCCCCACAGCCTGTGGTGCAGGCCATGGTGAGGCAGTTGTGCCCCTGTAGCTCATGTAGGTCCATAGGAAAGCAGAGATCCACCTGCAGCCCATGGAGGATCCCACAGTGGAGCAGGTAGATGCTTCAAGGTGGCTGTGACCCCACGGGAGGCCTGTGACTGGTAGACTCCTGGTAGGACCTACGGACCCATGGAAAGAGGATCCCATAATGTACCAAGCTGGCTGCCAGGATGCGTGACCCTGAGGGTGATCCACTCTGGATCATCCTGTTCCTGAAGGACTGCATCCCAGGGGAGGAACACACACTGGAGCAATTTGTGAAGAACTGCAGCCCATACGAAGGACTTATGTTGGAAAAGTTCATGTTGGACTGTCTCCCATGGGAGGGAACCCACACTGGAGTAGGGGAGGAGTGTGAGGAGTCCTCCCCCTGAGGAGGAAGGAGCAGCTGAGACAATGAACTGACTGTAGCCCCCATTCCCTGTCCTCCTGCATTGCTGAGGGAGAGAAGGCAGAAAACACAGGTGCAAAGTTGAGCTCAAAAAGTAGTGAGGGGCATGGGGAAAGTGATTTAAGATTTGGTTTTACTTCTCATTACCCTATTCTGATTTGATTGGCAATAAATTAATCTAATTTCCCTGAGTTGAGTCTGTTTTGCCCATAATGCTAACTGATGAGTGATCTCTCCATGCCCTTATCTTGATGATCCTTTCATTATGTTTTTTCTTCCCTGTCCAGCTGAGGAGGGTAGTGACAGAGTGGCTTTGGTGGGCAGCTGGTGTCCAGCCAAGGCCAACCCACCACATGAGTTAAGGTATTTCAGTACTCAGTCTGGTACAGGATTTGTCAGGACAGCCTTGACAAAGCAGAGGAGATAAAGGTTTAGAAATATGGTAAATCAAACCATTATGCAGTAAATTGTGAGGAGGTTGGCACTAGCAGTTAGTCAGCTGCCAGGAATTCATGCACGGTGTCTGATAGGTAGTCAGACCTTTGTCAGAAATGTGTGGTTGGGCAGCACAGGGTGCACCTGCATATATTTCTGTGAATAGAAGCATCTGCAAAGGGTGCAATAAAAATTCTCTTTGCATACATATTTAACCCTGCCCAGTCCCTGCTGTCAGTCAGTGTGATCACTCCACTGATGATGTTACTAAAGGGTTATCTTGGTTAATCTCCACCTTATGTTTGCACATTTAGTTGAACGGTGCTGCAGGATCTGTCAGCTTCCTGAATGCAGGCAGCTGACAAGTGCCTGAGAGCAACACCTGTACATGTGCAAACAGAAAAAGCAAAAACCTATACGTTCTCCATGTGGCTCCAGTTTGGAGCTTTAGGTCTGTTAATCATGCTCAGAGCTTTGAAGGCTTTTCCAGCTAGTTCATTGCCTGACCCAGAGGAGTAATGGTTCAGTGCTCGGCACTGAAAAGACAGAGCTTGTGCATTTTATTCCTAGCTCTGCAATCAATTCACAGCACAGTGAGCTAATCTCTTAGGATTAGGCCCAAAGAGTTGAAGACTATAAAACTGAATGAGAGACATTCCTCTTTCCAGGGTTTGGCTACTAGACTACAATTCAGAGCTTGGGGACAGGTGTCTCGTCCCTTCACATTGCATCCTGTGGGGAGCAACTGTTATGTCGATTCATCTCTATAGTGAGTAAAACACTGGAGAAAAGGGCACATACTAACTAAGTCTTGCCTCTCCTCCAGATGTGGATGCTTATCCAAACTATATTCACTCCCTGCTAAATGCTGAGTTAAGAACTGACTGGAAGGCCAGGCCCAGAGAGTGGTGGTGAACGGAGCTGCATCCAGTTGGCAGCCAGTCACTGGTGGTGTCCCCCAGGGATCAGTGCTGGGCCCAGTCCTGTTTAATATCTTTAGTCATGATCTGGATGAGCGGGTTGAGTCCACCATTAGCAAATTTGCAGATGACACCAGGTTGGGGGGGTGTGCTGATCTGCTGGACGGTGGGAGGGCTCTACAGAGGGACTTGGACAGACTGGAGAGTTGGGCTGATTCCAACGGGATGAGGTTCAACAAGGCCAAGTGCCGGGTCCTGCACTTTGGCCACAACAACCCCCTGCAGCGCTACAGGCTGGGCACAGAGCGGCTGGAGAGCAGCCAGGCAGAAAGGGACCTGGGAGTTTGGATTGACAGGAAGATGAACATGAGCCAACACTGTACCCAGGTGGTCAAAAAGGTAAATGGCATTCTGGTCTGGATCAGGAACAGTGTGACCAACATTCTTCCCCTGTACTCAGCACTGGTGAGGCCACACCTGGAATACTGTGTCCAGTTCTGGGCCCCTCAGTTCAGGAAGGATATTGAGGTGCTAGAACAGGTCCAGAGAAGAGCAACAAGACTGGTGAAAGGACTTGAGCACAAGTCCTATGGGGGGAGACTGAGGGAGCTGGAATTGTTCAACCTGGAGAAGAGGAGGCTCATGAGAGACCTCATCACTCTCTACAACTCTCTGACAGGAGGTTGTAGCCAGGTGGGGGTTGGTCTCTTCTCCCAGGCAACCAGCAGTAGGACAAGAGGGCATAGTCTCAAGTTGTACCAGAGGAGGTTTAGGTTGAATATTAGGAAGAAATTTTTTACAGAGAGGGTAATCAGACATTGGAATGGGCTGCCCAGGGAAGTGGTGGATTCACCATCCCTGGAGGTTTTTAAGATAAGACTGGATGCGGCACTCAGTGCCATGGTCTGGTAACCATGGCGGTGTTGGATCAAGGGTTGGACTTGGTGATCTCGGAGGTCTTTTCCAAGCAGGTTGATTCATGACTCTGTGATTCTATGACTCTAGTCTTCTTTCACCATATCAATACCTCTTCTGATTTTCTAATGGGAAGTTATGATTTACCAACGGAAAGTCTCATACAGTTTTGGTGACCTCCCTTTATATGCTGAGTACTGATGTGGGAGAGGTAGTCCCAGTCTCACAGCTTCATAGAGTGATTCAAAGTCACCTCCAAGAATATAGTTCACCTGTTTGGGGGTTGGGGGAGGAGGAAGGATTTCATTCCTTCTGCTGAAGCTGTTCTTTCTTGCAGGAAAAAATCCGAAGAAGTCATGGTATCGTTGTATTTGGAGATACTGCAACCTCAACTGGACAATACCCTGAGTAACCTGAACTAACTCAGAAATTGACACTGCTTTGAGCAGAGGATGAACTAAATGAAATCCCAATGTCCCTTCCAGACTTGTGTAAGTCCATGATTCTAGAATTACATGTAAAATACTCTCGAGAAAGAAACATGTGAGAGTTTCCTTACATCCTAAAAGTTAGGACTCTTCCTGTGGAAGACTTCCATGTCTCCTAAGAACTGTTCATATGTTTTCCCCCATGTGCACACTTTACAGATTTACCTCTTTTCCTTCTTTTCCCAATTGCTAGGCAGCAGATCCACATATCTGCCTGAGAAACAGGATACTGCAGCTAAATCCGTATGAAATCTGAAGTCAGACTTTCAGGGAAGGTGTCTTGTCAGATGCTTCAGGGCAGGTAGGAAAGGTGCTGTGTAGTCTGTGAATGTGATCATTCCTGCACAGAATGAAACACAGAAATACAAGAAAGGTATCTGAGTGGTGAAAGCCAAGAATGAAGCAGCCTTGAGTGGGAGAGGTTTAGATTTAAGCACCTAAGTTTTGCCTACTCCCCTCTGTCTGTGCTTATAATTTTCTCAGAGATAGCCTCAAAAACAGCTTTCAAATATCACTAGTTATGCTAATAAACAATTTTCCTGAATTTCATCTGAACTTAGCAGACACATCTGATTTATTTCACACTAACAGGATCATGACTGAAATAAAATCATACACAGATGAGTGTCTCAATTGCTACTGTTATTAATCCTGCTGTTTAGGTTCATGTTTAGCAGGAGGCATATGCAAGGCTCATTTGATAACAAAACAGTGAAGAAGCTTCTAATCTGTCACTGTCACAGACATCTGTGAGGAGCCACCTGCAGCGCTTTTCAGTGCAGACAGCAATTGAAGAGTGTGAAAAGCCACTGTGACAAGCAGAGAGACCAAGATACTGATTGTGCAATGTGTTCTCCTTGTCAAAGTGGAATGAACCTGTTTCAGAGAATCCAATTTCTTCACATCACACAGGCCCATAGTGGGAACCACAAGACGCCACAATGTACTGGAGGTGTGTGGCAGTGAATGATCTCTGTTGTGGAATAAATATCCCTCCTGCCCTTGACAGGTCAGTGCTGAGCAGCAGAGTGATGCTTTCCTGTCCTCTGTGGAGTATGGAGAGCTCACACTGAGCCCTTTTCAGCCAATGTTTGCCTCAGATGCTTTCCAGGATGGAGAAGCACAGATCTTACCCAGCTTTTAAAGTGGACTCATCCGACCAGTGTATTCACTCTCCCAGATAATTCCTGGACAAAACACAAGCCAGGGACCATTTTCAGTAGGAAGTCAACATGTTTTTCCAATAAGTCAGTCTGCTCCTGGGGAATAAGAGAGTTTCAGATGTGCACCTTTCCTCACAATTCTGCCTCAGCTCCAGAGAACTGTCTTGATCATGTTTAATTTTTAACAGCAAATGAAGCCATAGAGTTCTACTGGCTTATTGGTAGAAATAGGTCCCAACTATTTCACTCTGGGGGGGAAGTCAGTGGACAATTTACTAGGGATGCCTGTGGAACAATGTCCTAAGTATATCTCACAATTTGAGGTTGGCAAAGATTTCAGCAAAGACATAGAAAGACTTTCCTTGGCTTCACTCCATGTCAGCTGAACCGTTTCACCCTTAGCTGGCTCCCCTTAGAGCCATCACATCCATTTTCCCTATTTCTTGTGTGGGACAGGGGAACTGCAATCCTAGACCCTGGTCATTTACTCTGGTTACTTGTTATTGACACAAGCCAGAACCACATCCTTTAGAGTAAGATATAGGAAATGGCTGGATATTTAGATGGAGCAATTTCCATCTCTGGATACCACATTGTAAACTCAAGGACTACTGAAAAAAATCCTGATTTTCATTCCTAGGACTCTTGGAAAGTTGGGCTAGGTGAGAATGGGGAAACATTCCTCCCTCTCTCGAAAATTATAATTTTGGAGCTGTTATAACAATCAAGGATACCTCTAGTTCAATCTCACACCCAGTTTAATCATCCTTTTCTTTCAAAGCTGAACAGTTTCTGTTAAAGCTTAACAGCTTTCTAAGAGATGATGTTTCTTGAATATTAAAACAATAAATATTTAAAACGTTCCCACACATGACCCTGTATTGCATGAAGAAAATGTCAGCCTCATAACACCTCTAAACCAAATTTTTAATGGATGTCTGTTTTATTTTCTCTCTAATCCCCCAAGTCTATCTCAAAACTAAGCTTCCTCTCAAAACCAAATGAACATCTGGTACGGCTGAAAAGACTCTGTAACTTACATTATACATTAAATTTCTCTTTCCAAGGAAACAAATACTAACATTGCTGTTTCAGCCTCAAAATTATCGGTCATAAAATTATGATATTTCTACTTTTCTCACCAGAGTGCTAAAGTTCTTAGGATTACAGTACCATCTCCTACAGCAGTCTCCAGAAAGCTGGATTTTCCACCTATCTGCTGGATAAATCTCTTCCCTTCTCCAGTTCCTTTCCTGTCCTTCTCTTCAGACCAGTGAGCATCTATTTTGACATGTTTGTCACAGTTGCACTACAAAGAGGGTATGTAATAGTGCTGTAATATGATCAATACCTTATTGTCACCGTCATGGGCTTTAGGGAGGAACCATATTTAACTGCTATTGCAGCATTTAATCAATTGTTTATAAAGGTATAACCTTCATTTAGTAGAGTAACTTTGAGACCGGCTGACATTGATCATTCTGTGTAAATAATGTTTTGTTTTATCTGTATTTTATTTTTACTCAGTTGCTTTGGTTAGTCAAGTGCTAGAAGTTCACTGGTCTATGTCATTTCCTGAGGGATGTTTCTGCAAAGTAAAATACCAGTTTCAGAGGGCAGTTTCACAAGCACAATACAGCAGAAACCACACAAAAATAGTCCATAAATAATCTTGTTAAAAACAAATAATGTTTTCAAGTTGAAGAAGATTGATTTTATTTGAAATAGGTATTAAAGCAAACAAGATAGCTCCAATATAATTTTGATGTATTAGAAGTGATGGTGAATATAATGTTCCCCTCTCTTTCTTCGGCTTTTAAGCTCAAGCAAACAGACTATGATTTATCTTCTGTCCTCTTAGTTTTGACATGGAGTCCGTGTTCCTCCTCAGCTATCTTGGTGAAAAGGATTTATCTGCGTTATAGAGGGTGCGTTTCAAATGGCTACAGTAATTGCAACAAATTTAGAAATAAAACCACAGTGTTGAAAAGCTTTTGGTTGTGCAGTGGGAAGGCTCTTGCAGCTGATGGAAGGGCAGATTTCAGTCTGGATTGGTAATTGTGTTGAAAACGTGACCCCCAGCAGTCATCAGGGGAAAAAATGGTCAAACCATATATACTCAGGAACACTTGCATCAGTCAAAAGCATTTCTGAATACGCAGAGAAAGGACATTGAGGCCATTGGATCATAAAGAAGGATCTTCACTCCAATGTTGTGCAGAGCACTTTATTAAATATCAGCCTTGCATGAAGAGGAGTCCTGTGCAGTGGCCATCAAAAAGCCACTGTAGTGTCTGAGCAAAACCCATAGAATCAGGATTGTGTCCCTTAATGAATAATTAAATTTACCTGCTGCCTTTTTTTTTTTTTCTTTTACTAAGGAACAAATGCTGCAACTGTCACTCGTGGGACTTCATCTGCAGCTTTCCTCTAGGAAAGGATGAAGCCCTTTTCATGATATCCAAGCTCAGGAATCCACTGTGGAAATGCAGCCGGTTTTAAGGAAGAAAGCTAAGTAATGTTAACCAGAGAACTGCTTAAACAAAGCATTGTCAAAGCACAGGCTAGAGGAGGGAGGAATCTTTATGAACAAGAATAAAACAACTATTCATGCTGCATGGGTTGTTGCTAGCCTGGGGAACATCATGGATCTAATTCTGGTCTTATTTTCTTCAAAGTCAGAAGTATCTGTACTGAAGTCAAAGCAACAATTATGTAAGGCTTGGTATAAAAGATTAGAAGTGTTCCCACCTGGTGAAGTCTCGGCAAATGGATCCAGGTCACTTTACCATGTTAAAAAGAGCTATTTTCTCCCCAATTTTTCTTTGAGCTTCAATGCTATAAATCCAAAAATAACTAAATCAAAATCAAAGTCATTCCCTGGCACTTTGTAATAGTAACCGGCTGAAGAGCATTAGCTACCTTTTACATCTTTCTTGGTTTGAATTTTCCTATATACATTAATAGATCTACATTTATAGGTAAAAGCAGCACACTTAAAACATAGGCCAGTGTTTGCACTGAGGGCATAGGACATGCCTGTGGGCTGATATTTGTGTCTGTAAAGGCAGGGAGCCTTCTCACCTCTTTTTGTTAATTCTGGAGGTTACAACTGCCTGATGAGGCACCAAATATGTGAATATGTACCTCACCTGCAAAAATTGTAAGATTTCTGTGGAAGTAAATATAATACTTCAAAGTTTTTTGTGGGCTTGTGAATGTGAAATCCTTTAAACCTCCTTCAGACTTTCATTCCATGTGAAGATTTCAGAGATTCATTCTCCTCATAGTCACACATAGACAATGTCTCTCTTTTTGCTCACAAATATTGATTCTGGCCTTCCCTTTTCAGTAAACGTATGTGCAAACATAGCCCAGGGGAGGGCAAAGTCATAAATGAATACATGTCTTTTAAGGAGATTTCAGAGAGAGATGAGTCTTAGGACACCCTGTAAAGAGTTGGTTTGACAAACAGCCTTTGGAACCAGGCCCAGTCCATGTCCCCCACACCCAAATACTGCCACGTGGTCCTGCTGCTTTCTCTCTCTTTGGCTGCCCAGGCTTGTCCCTGCAAAGGGATAGCCCTTTCCCTCATTAGGGTTGATCTTCCCTTCTTAGTGATGGGATCTTCTAGCCCAAATGAGTAACCCATTGCCTCATCAGCTGTTGGGGCTACAGGTGTGGCTTCTCTGCTCTGCCTTTCAGAGGAGGAACAGCAGGACTGCTCTTCAGCACTGTTCCCATATCAGGTATTTCAGAACATCCTACTCAGCAGGGTTTCCTGTCCACATAACAGACTGTTGACACATGCCTTGAAGGGTTAGTGTTCCTGGAGACTGCACAGTCCTACAGATAACCTTCTCCTTAATTATAACAGTCTTTAGCAATGGCTGTCAGCTTAACAAGAGACAGAGGTGAGCCTGTGCCCTTTCCCCCTCCTTTCACATCAAATCTGGAGCTGATCCATATCTCAGTTTTAGAAACAGATGTATCTGATCTGACCAAAGAAATTGCTGAGCCTCTTTCCTCTTTTTAAGGAATGATTGGTGACTCTTTCCTGTTAAGAAGCAAGACAAATATGGGTTACAAATACAATGACTCTGATATTCTTCTGGAAAGACAAACATTCTACTTGAAGATTACAGAATAGGATAGTAACCTGCAGGATGTGACCACCTCTACCATACAAACTAAACGCAAATAAAAGAAGGTCATCTAGACTGAACGGCATACGTAGGGGGAAAATGCAAGAAACAATGGATAATTATGAATAAGATCAGGAACAGTGTTGTTCTCCCAGAAGAGTAGACTCTAGCAAAGCATAGAACAAGAATTTAGATCACTTGTTTGATTTCATGCAGAAGGTCTTGCAAGTGATGAGTTTCAATATCTGATCTTAAAGCTGGGATGATTGATTGTTCTGAAATTCTCTCCTAGCAAAACGAGGTTTTGTCACACAGTTATCCAAGCCACAAAATTTCATTATTTCGTTTTTGTTTTAACCCTGGAGGGCCTCCAATGGACTACCACCCACAAGCAGCTATGCACAAGTATGACTGACAATCACCCAGAGTTACAGCACTAGTAACTCTGACCTTCAAAGAGGTCATGCTCCGATTTTCAGCCTTGCTGTGCAGCACTGAGCGGTAGTTACTGTGTAATGTTCTTTCTTTCTTTGCCATTACACAGGTCTGACAAACTTTGCAGCAAACTCTCACTCTTACTGGGAACACAGGGGTTAAATTTCCTCTTCCTTGGGATAAGTTTGGTAGACATATGCCGATTCTGTTTTCAGTTGTGCCATTTTCTCCCAGTGCATGCACAGTCACAGCTGTGAACAAGTTGCAGGCTTAAATTTTTAATGCTGAAGGCTATTCCTGGCTACCTCCTCAACATTACCACCTCCACTGAAACCTATAGTGTACCCATGGAGACATCCTGGGTTCCACTTAATTGGAACAATATTTACATTTTTCTTTCTGTTTTGTTTGTATCGTCGAGTTCTTAAATAGAGTCATGCTGAGGTATGGAAACAAATTTTCTTTACCTATCCACTTTGGAAAAAATATTCAAACTGCATTATCCGCAAACTGTTGCAGGAGAAAAATGAAGAAAGGAGTTCTTAGATCAGAATGGAAGGCATTCAGTTAATAAGGAGGAAAAATAATGCTGTGTATTAATGGCTGGATGGAAAATGGTTACTGTGATTTATTTAATGGGATGAGTTTAGGTCAGAGTATTGTTTTCTAGGGAAATGTGTAAATACAGAGAAAGAAACAGCATCTGCTCTGAAGACCTCGATAGAAAAGAGACTCAAAAAATAAAGGCAGTGAAATCATCCTGATCTTACAGGATCGAGGTAGAGAGAGGATAAGGTCACATAGAAAGTGCTGAAAAATATGGGAACTGATAGTGTCTTTTGTCAGTTTAAGTCCTGTGCTCTAAACTGATCAGCATCAAAAGTTTTTCAAAATTTCTTTGCATCTGTGTCTTACACAATTTGGAAGCAAGCTCAAATCTATGAGAACTTTAGGTGAAGAAGACATCTTTAAGAAAAAGAAGCATCACAATCCTCTCTGTAAGCATCTCTGCAAATCAAAATATTTCTTTCCTTTTTTTTTTTTTTAATGTGCCTTGGTTGCTGGTAAATTAATCAACTTCTTCAAGGAGACACAGTGTACTTCCTTCAGCTTAGAACAGGACCACTCCACAATGGGCACCAGAGAAATACAGTGTTGAATGGAAGAAGTAAAACACTTTATTCTTATGCTACATTATGAAAAGTCCTTAGGAACTCCTATTGTAGAATAATCCAGCTCTTGTTTTAGCCTTAGGTAGTGTCATCTCCACAGTCTCATAATAATTAAGAAAAACCTAGTTTGATGACACTATTAAAAATATTTGTATCATATTGCCCACTTAAAATGAGTTAGAATTTCACTGTGAAATCCCCTGGCCATTCTCCTTCAACCAGAGAACACACTAATGAGACCTTGCCTTACTGTATTGTAATTTGAAAGTTAGAGTGACAAAGAAATGCAGTTTTCCCAAATAAAATTGATTTTGGTTTCAAGACACCCCACATACCCCACATAGCCCACAATGTTAACAGTCTGAAGAAGAGCAGAAAACCTAGTGTCCATTACCTTCTCTTTTAGGAATAATAAAGTTATAAGTTATGAATCTAAATCCACTGAAGAATCAGTCAGGCCAGAATATAACCACTCCTAACATCCTTTTCATGGCCAGTACTACCCTCTAGCAGGCATAGCATGGGTCAGTACCCCCAAACTGATGGATCCCAAATCAGCACAGCAGCTACCTAATGCTATCCAATGCAGAGACATATAAAGTTGTTCCTGCTGCTAAATAGAGATGAAGCCTCTCCTCACCCAGGGCTTGCCATTACACAAAGACACACAATGAGAAACTTATGAGAGAAAGGTCTGGCTCTAAATTATTGATAGTTGAACAGAAGTCCATATTAACATGGATAATGTTCTCTCAGTAAAAAGATGAATGAACCAGGGTGGATGTGGCAACAAATACCCTGTCAGCTCCTGGAATATATATCTGATGGTTCAGGGGTGAGTTCTTGCCCTGGATATTGTGCAAATCCACTCTGCCTCTCTTGACTCACTGATGTTGAATCATCTCCAGCCCTGAAATCTCTGTCCTGCGGCTCTTAGTACACCAGCGAGACATTGCTGAGAGTGGATCCACGGTCAGCAGGTAAAGTAGTTTTCTCTGAACTGCAGTATCCAAGAGCTACTGTCCATTATTCCTGGGAGGAATGGAAAGCATGCTACTGGCTCTTACCCTGTCCTAGGCATAAATTCTTCTGTCATATGTTCTCTCTCTCTGTCACTGAATAATTCCCGGAGTCTCTCGTGTCCAGATTTGCTAAGGGCTGTGTGGAATGAGCAAACAGGATGCATCAGCACCTTCACAATAACCTGTGAGAAAAGATGCCTGGACAGTTAGTCATGAAGCAGAAGCTGAATTTTGTGCTTTGGAGCATTTTTGAAAATTTTGGATGAGCTCTCTGCCCCCTTTGCTGGACCTGATATTGCACTCAGCCTCAGGGAATTTAGATAGCCCTGATGAAACTAATAAGAGATTTTATTGGTTTTTTGTGGCAATAAATCTGCAGTATATGAGAAAACTGTTGTTTAAACATGTTTCAAAATGGCTTTTTGTAGTCTCTTTGCTAACTCATGCTTTCTTCTTCCCAAGACCCCCCATGACAAGCGTTATCCCATGCAGGAATGTCCTGAGAAGATATCCTGAGGTGTTCTCATTGGTCCCTTTTAACCCCTTCCTATTGATTGTTAACCCCTTCCTGCGATTGGGTGTTCCTGTAAACCCCTTGAGACTTGTAATTGGTTACTCTGTGAATCCTCCTAATCCTGTAAATGTAACCCCCCCAACAATAAACTCTCTCGTCTCCTCTCCACACCGGTGTGCTGTCTCTCTGACTGCCATGGGACTACGTGGGTGGGGGGAGGGGAGAGCATCTCTCCCCACCAGGCTCAGGACCTGAAGAAACCTCTGGTGCTGGAGTCCCCCCTCCCTATCCACATTCAGCCATCAGAAATGGTTCCTCAGATGGAAATGGAACTAGAACTGGTGCGCCCCACACCATGTGGGGAAAGGGATACCGAGTTTTTGAATTTGAGAATGGTCATTAGCAACAGGGAAGTGATGGAGAATATTGTCCCATTTCATGTTTTATCTCTGTCTGGCATAACACTGGAGTAGTGAAACAAGGCTCTGATTCAGCTGTCATTGATTTCATTGAGATTTATCTTATAATTTGAAAATATTCTGTTTCTCAGTTAAATCTTCTCATTGAAAGATCATTAATAAAGATCAACTTACTGACTCTCTGTACTCAGAGTCTATGTTAAAGAAGAACAAACAGAGAAATTCAGGTTAATGAGAGGATCCCTCTGGTAAAATTAATTCCATTTTGGGACCTCAGTACAGAAGAGAGTCTGAAAAACATAGGAGAGTCTAGTGAAGAGAAGCTAGGTTGGTTAAGGGGACACAACACCTGATGTAGCAGGGTTATATCTTGCAGAAAAGGCTAAGGAGGGACCTAATGTCCTTTGTCTTTTGGATGGCTGTAAGCAGACAGAGACAGAATTTCTCAGAGGTGAACCAAAATATAACTGGATAACTAGTACAGGTTTTAGGACAGGAACTATAAACACTGGATCAGGGGCACAGAGAGGCTGCAGCATCTCCAGCCTTGGAGTAACTTGAAACTCAGTGGACAAAGCACTCGGAAACCTTTTGTAACAGTTGAAGTTGCCCTGGATTTGAGCAGGAGCAGGTAGACGACCTAAAGAATTCCTTTCCAACATTTTCTTTGGTGATTCTATATTCAACACATGTCTTCCCACTGTTTCTCTTCCAAGTTTCAATAGAACTGCCTGAGTTATTTGTTAATTCTGAGGAAGATGCTCTGTCATGTGTCTAGAATTTGATGGGACTCTAAGGCACTGTTTGTCACAGTGGTTTTCATATAAATGCATTTATGCAGTACATACAGGAATCATCTCATATTGGCATCATGTTGAACCTGTTTGTGGTTTTGGTCTTTTAAAATGGTTTCAGCTGGAGCCGAACTCAGAGAAACAAACATACAAAGGCATTTTAAATAGAATTTAAGAAGAGTTTTGCTGAAATACTTTGTGACTTCTTCTCACTTTTCTCTGCATATATCAGCCTGCAGTCCTGTTATCTCATCCATCGCCTACTTTCTTGTCAGACTTCTTTAAGGGCTCTGCTAAGCCTTGATGTCTCCTCCCCCTTCAAGGGAGAGCACAAAGCCTCTGCTAAGAGATTTGGGAGACAGCACATCTGCAGCAGAATGTCACCTCAACAACTATTGCCTCACAGATAATAATGTCAGAAGCATTATGGAACTTGGAGGAAGAAAGCTGCAATGCCCATCTTGAAAAAAATAGATTAAGTGGTTTTCAGCAACATTTTGGGAAATATATCCTCACCCATGAAATTGTCCTCTTTTGCCTCCATTCAAGTTGAATATATTGCAATGAACTCTGCTTAATTGCAGTGACAGGTCATTCCACCCTCCATGGAACCAATTGAACCTAATGATAGTGAACAGTAAGTGACCATTGCTTAATTAGGCCAAAATTTACATAAATTGCAGATAATAGGGGGGAAATGTCAGTAGTTAATAAAAAGAAAAAAAAATTATTGTTCCTAAAAGACAAAATGACATGCAAATTCCCAATATTTGGGAATTTCGTAAAAGCTTTAAGCTCAGAGGAGCCTATCCTGACCCAGGATAACAAGATGTTTGAGCAAACCTGGTCTGGGTTTCACATCACAGCCAAGCAACAGCACTACTCATAACTGCACATGGTGAGATGTGCTAGCAGGTGAAGCATAGAAATTAAAAGAACTTCATGTGGGAATTTCTGGGTTTATTTCAACACAGAACATATTGGGAAGGTGCAAACATGATCAAAACTAAGAGGAAAAAGGAAAACGATCACAGAATCCCAGAATGGGTAAGGTTGGAAAGGACCGCAGTGGGTCATCTGGTCCAACCTCCTGCTCAAGCAAGGTCATCCTAGAGAACATGGCACAGGACGGTGTCCAGAAAGTTCTTGAATATCTCCACCAAGGGAAACTCCACAACCTCTCTGGGTAACCTGTTTCGGTGCACAGTCACCTGTACAGGAAAGAAGTTCTTCCTCATATTCAGGTGGAATTTCCTGTGCATCAGTTTCAACTCATTGCCTCTTGTCCCATTACTGGGTACCACTGAGCAGAGCCCAGTCTATACTCTGACACCCTCCCTTCAGAGACTTGTATACATTGATTAGGTCCCCTCTCAGTTGTCTTTTCTCAAGGCTGAATAAACCCAGCTCCCTCAGCCTTTCATCATAAGACACTCTTAGTCATCTTTGTAACTCTCTGCTGGACCTGCTCCAGGAGCTCCATATCTCTTTTGTACTGGGGAACCCAGGACTAGACACAATAAAATCCTCAGTCTGGATCTTCTAGCTGAAGTTTAGCCTAGTTGGATTTTCCCTGCAGGTTTCAGCTGTCACATCAGTGAAGCTTACACCTGCAAAAGCATTCACTTAGTTTGCACCAGTTACAGATAGACTGCGTATCCAGAGCTGTGGAAACGACTTAAACATGGGAAGCAGTTTCTCTTATCCTTTGAAAGAAAAATGTGGGTAACTGGAAGAGAGATATTCTTCTTAAGTTACAAGCCATTTGCAACATGGCAGGAGCAAGCACACAGTCAGTTAATCTGTCTTTGCAGGCAAAAGATTCAACTGCAGTGGTACAGCACTGTGTCATACTCAGAGGGTGAGAGTGGAACCATGCTATTTGCAAAGCCAGAGAGTTGTGCAGGAAAACTGTCTCAATAATGACAAACAACTGTCACTTTGTTTCTGTTGGGTTTGTCTCTGAGCTCAAGAATCTTATCTCATCATTGGATCTGAGAAGACATGAATTATAACCCCAGCTGTATTGTAATCTCTCTATGGTCTTAGTCGTTCAGTTCTTGATAACCCGTTTTCCTCATCTGTAGCATTTTCTCTACTGCAAGGTTTGGTGCCTAAAGTATATCCATATTTTGTAAATGCAGTTACCAAACTTTTCCACTGAGAAAAATGGCAACAGCCAGATTCTGATTTTTTTTCATGTCCTTACTATTCAGTAAAGAACTTCAATGTTGATCTCATTCATGCTGAAGAACTGTTTGCAGAATAAATCATCTCAAAAAATCATCTCAAAAAAATAATATGTGCAGATAATTCATTGTGCAAAGTATCTTCAGTAAACAGGTGATCCTACTGCTTGAAATCCATGAAGTCTCACTGAGGGTAAGGTAGATTTCAACTGAGTAAATACTTCACAGCCCAGCCTACAACCGGCTCCACAGCTACCCTCAGATTGTCCCATTTTAAGTATAGTTTAGCATAAAAAAGTGTCACTAAAATTAACAACTGATCATATGATGAAACCTTGTATATTAAAAGTCAAGGTGTCACAGACAATGTTGTACACATTATCAACCATGATGAAAGAATTTGGAGATTTAGTTTTCTAGATATAGTGGAGCAAGATAGCGTTTAATTTCTCTGCGCTATTGTACTGTGTCAAATTTCAGAGTCTGGTACATGGACAAATACAGGTATGCTTATTTCTATTCTCAGTGTATACACTCAGTGTAGTCACAATACATGACTATTTATGAGCCCTGTAGGTAAGGTTACCTTTATTAATAGAACCAGTTAGAATAGAGTTAACCTAATAAAGATCTTTTACTACTAAACAACAAGAAAAAATATTTATTACTAAGAATTTACTAACTTTTTTGCAGTCAGGCAGGCTATGTGTTTTAAGGAGAAGTTAATAGGATTCCAAACAGCACTTCACATTGACAAAGCTACTAAACTTTCTTAAATATATGAAAAAAAAAAGTGAAAAGGGTGTATTGGATTGTCCACAAAGCCAACAACGATTGCAAACCTGTTAGTGACAAAAACAGCATATTGAAGATATTTAACTTTACTGAGAGCCGTAATACATTACAATTTTCACTGAATGTTCAGCCCAGTTATCCTGCTGCCAGCAATCTTTAAAGCTATTTATATATTACCCATATTGCTTTATTATTTTTCCTTTAAGAAGAGCAGTTTAATGCTTGAGTGCTTTTCAATTTTGCCATTCAGACCACAGATTAAGTTTATAATGACTAGCTTAATTTTTACAGGCTGTAGCATGTATTTGGTCTGAAAGATACCCCTGGTGATATGAGACTTTAGATGACTTTGGTGTTTCAATAAAAGTTAGATGCAGTCCAATGCCTTCTATTGTGGTTGATTATATGACTACATGTTCTTTTTGGCCACTGTAGTATGTAATTTACAGCCTATTTCTTTCTTGATGTTTGAAAAGGTAGAGATCTCTGAACTACAGGGTTAGGAACAATTTTACCTTCTATTTCTTCTTTAACAGACAGATAACAAGCAGATGAGGAGTCTGCATTGAACATCTTACAGATGTGTAGTACTTTGGGAAAAGAACACCCAAACTGAAAAAAAAAAAAGGCAGAGATACACTTGAAAGCCTATTAATTGAGACTGCTATTCAGGGTCTGTAATTGAATGCATTTCAAATGGCCATGCAGAGACAGGGGACCCATGGAACAAACCCCTTCATCTCCCTTCTAGACCATCTGGACTCTAGTCTTGAATAGGATTTATTTTATGTAACTCTGGGAGATTTTAGCTCCACTGAAGTAGGTCTCTGTTAGCTGCATTGCTCATGGTTCTCCTCTGAATATACTGAGAAGATGACAGAACCACAGAATCACAGAACAGTTTGCATTGGAGGGGACCTTAAACATCATATAGTTACAAATCCCCTGCCATGGGCAGGGACATCTTCCACTAGACCAGGTTGCCCCATTCAACCTGACCTTGAACACTTCCAGGATTGGGGTATCCACAGTTTCTCTGGGAAACTTGCTCCAGTGCCTCACCACCCTACAGTAAAAATGTTTTTCCCAATATCTAATTGAAATTCACTCTCTTTTACTTTAAAGCCATTACCCCTTGTCCTATCACTCCATTCCTTTGCAAAAAGTCCCTCTCTGGGTCTCTTGTAGCCCCCTTCAGGTACTGGGAGGTGCTATAAGGTCTCTCCAGAGCCTTCTCTTCTCTAGGTACAACAATCATGTTGTCTCCATGGCAACATCCTGTCTCCATGGCAGAGGCGCTCCAGCCCTCTGATCATCTTTGAGGTCTCATATGGACTCTCTCCAACAGGTCAACGTCCTTCTTCTGCTGGGGACCCCAGAGCTGGATGCAGTTCTCCATGTGGGGTCTCACCACAGTGGACCAGAGGGGCAGAATGCCCTCCCTCGACCTGCTACCCACACTGCTTTGGATGTAGTTCGTTTTTTTTCTGGACTGCCAGTGCACGTTGCTGGGACATGTTGAGCTTCTCATCAACCAACGCCCTTAAGTTCTTCTCCTCAGACCTTCTCTCAATCCATTCTCCTCCCAGTCTGTATTTGTGTTTTGTATTGTCCTGACCCAGGTGCAGGACCTTGCACTTGGCCTTGCTGAACTTCATGAGGTTTGCACAACCCCACCTCTCAAGCCTGTCCAGATCCCTCTGGATGCCATCCCTTCCCTCCAGTAAGTGGACCTCACCACACCCCAAATCTAAACAAAACACCAAAGAAACCAAAGATTATCTGAAGTAACGTAGTTGTTTGTATTCACCCTGTCTGTGAGGTAAGCCTGGTTTTAAGGTTATTCCCAGATCTGTGCAAAGCTGACAGCAGAAACTAAACTCATTTCCTGTTGAAGTCTTAAGGAGGGAGGTCCTGATTTGCAGGCTGGTGGTGTCTGAGAATAGAGACATAGGGTGTGTTCATTTATGAGTGAGTCTCATCTTGGAAGAAATTCAAACTGAAGGAGTTAATTCCCCACACAGGTCAGAAACATATTCCAGACGAAAAAGACAGACACAAACTCTGCAGTATCAAAATCCATTTTGGTTTGTGTTCAATCCCATTTAAGCCACTTTCTCAACAAAGAAGTATTGCCAATTGTCACATACTTACACACTGTGATTCTTGACTTCCTTTTCTTTCTTTAATACAAAGCGGAAAAAAAATGTGTAGGTAGAACCATGAAAACCTCAATATGTTTTTGTTGGATAGACTTAAGTGCTTAAGATAAAAAAAAGAAGTAATTTGATGTCAGATCTAGTATTGGAAAATACAAAAAAGTTCTTTTCAAGAAAGACTTAATAGAAGATTGAAAGAGAGAGAATACCTTTTTTTCTCTCTATATATAAAAGGATCATTTACCATAGTCTCTGAGCTTCTCAAACACTCAGTTTTTAGAAAAACCCACTGAAAATTATATAACCTTTCCCTCCCAATGATTCTGCTTTCACTAGCTGACATCTCTTGTTACTAATAGATGCAATAAAACTACTTGTGCCAAAAAAAGTCAGACCCTTATGTTTACTGCAGTAAAGCAGAAAGATTTACAATTTGGTGTAAAAAGTTTTTATGGTTCGCTATAAATCTTAAATCCAAAGTATTTCTTAACTTTGAGACAGAAACACTACTTTTCCTCAGTAGATTTCAAAGAACATTGTAAAGGTGGTTTCAATTTTAGAGATGGACAATAATTATATTTTGGAAAGAATTTTCAATGGAAAAAAGTCTTTTTTCGAAGGAGTTTTTCTATCCTCTGTGAAGAAAACAGAAATGCTGCATTCCAAGATAGTAACCAAAAAAAAAAAATCTATAGTTTCAGTATTCACACAGAACATGGAATTATGAGAGAACCTTCCAAGCAGTTAACTGGAAGGTTACAGCAAAGCCCAGACCTCTGTTCAAATGGTTAGGCAAAACTGATCTCAGAAGGGGCTTGGATCTACACAATAAATTTTATTTCTACCACTAGTTTGTTTTATTTATATATGTAAATATATACATATAAAATATTCCAAGTTTCTATTACTAGCACAGTTTATTCCTGCAGAAACCTCTCCTGAGGCAGTTTAATTTTTACATGTTTAAAAACAGTATTATCATATCAATATAAAGAAGTTAAGGTACCACTATAATATGTTCTTTACAGAAACTTAGCCTGAAAGAAAACATAGATCTATTTATTTTTCATGGAGATGCTTTGTCAACTTTCTAAGGTCTATTTTATACCCTATTTTAGGAAACTGTGAAAGGATATGTGTGCACAAGCACAGTACAAACACATGGATGCTCCTGGTCAAAAGCCATCAACTCGGAGAAGTCAGCTCTCACAAGACAAAACTGAAGGTCTGAAGCTATGTGTTTGTTCCTGGAGAGATGAAAATGTTACTCATTGGTGTGGTGTTTACCGTCTGGAGAACAGTAGAATTGTTGATTTTCTCAAGTATTCAGGTCTGATGGATTACATAAATCTAAATATGACTCTGAGCAGTGGAACTTCACCGTCAAAGGGAAAATATGAGTGTAGGGTCCAGCTCATGGTCACAGAAAATGTTAGAGTTGACTTTGGGGGGAGTTTGCCAGCTGTTTTTATTATTTCTTGACAGCTACAGTACTGGACAAGGGCTTAACCTGAGTATGATCTCTAAACTAAAACCAGAAAATGAACTGACTTCAAATTGCATCTTTTTAGTTTAGTAAGTAAATCTCCTCCTGCTGCTTGAGTCATCTCTTTTATACTGTTGATAGACAACACTACAGGTTTCTGACAAAGTCTTCTCTGGCAACCTGGCAGCAGCTAGTCTACTCTTCCCATGTGCACATCAGTAATCAGCAGCTCAGTCCTGAGAGCTGGCTTTTACTGAGGAGGGGAATGATCCCTTTTCATCTCAACCTAATTGGGAACCTGCTTAGTTCAACTTATAAAGAAAGCGCCACTTCAGATTAGGATGTCACTGAGAGTGGTCAGGTTGGGAAAAGATATCAGGGACATCATCTGACTCTAGTTGTAACCCTAGAATCTTCTCAAAAGAAAGGAATTTTGCTACCAAAAGTGGGTGTATTGCTGCTCCTTTAGTTTCTCTTCCACCTCTAAGAGGGACAAGATGACACTCCCACTTCTCTTTTTCTTCTACATGTGGGATTTAACAAGACATGATCCAGCAGCATTTCTTTGTCATTGTCATCATGTCCCTGTCTGGCCCTGGGAATCCTGGGCTGCGTAGGGGTGTGGGGTAGATTTGGGATAGCCTCTGAATTGGCATTTTGTCCAAGTGGCCGTAGAACTAGTGCTTGTAGTGCTGGAATATACTGGCTAAAAGCTACCTTGGGTATGTCTCTACTGGTACCACCTATGCTGCAAGAGGATACGCTGGTTGTCAAATCTTCATGGAAGACACGATTGTTGTCCATCACAAGACAACTTACAGCAAAATAATATCCTAGAGAAGATTCCAGGAGGTGTCATGGAATTGTCCAAAACTGCAGAAATGGGAATTTGGGTAACAAGGAAATGAGAGAGTCTGTCTGGGTGTTAGAAATTGTTGAGGGAGAAATGCTAAATTTGACTTCATGCACTTGCCAAGTAAAATCCCATTGTACTTTAGGACTCTTGGGAGTCTTGGATCCTCACACTAGTGGACCATCACAAAAGTGTTAGTCAGATTCTGTTGGGAAGTAATGCTGCAGTCATTCTGAAATCGGTGCAGTATTAGCAGAAAGTCAGGACTTCATACTGTGGTCACAATTAATGTGCTCTCTACTGTGATCAATTTACACTTAATGATGCATTTAGTGGTAATAAAATTGGGAAGTTACAAAATATTCTTCCTATTGTTTTAATTTGCTACATTTTAGGGGCCAAGTAAAGGTGGGATTATAATATATATCATTTCGGGGAAAGAAAAATCAGAATGGTTGAGGCAGAAAGTCATGAGAAAAGAAAAAATAATAGGGTTACTAGGAATTACAAGTCTTTTTTCTCTGTACCAATCATAAGAGTGCTGAGTTAGGAAAATGGTGTTTAGAAAGTTGTTCTTATAATTAGAAATGCCTTTCCTGCCTCTGCACAGTAGTATTACCTCTGAAATTTCTGCCACCAGGCAAGGCTTTTAGGAAGTCATTATGGCATACAAATAGACCATACTAAATTAAATTGATTAATGCATCATATGAATATTTTCAGCTACTTAGTTTTGGCCAGCAGCAAATTCTAATGGACATCTAATCAGCAAAGACAGTCCAACCTTTCTGAGAAGCCTGAATCATTGGGGAAGTTATGACACAAAGCTTCTCTTCAAGTGAAGGAAATGTGACACACCACTTTCCATGGGTTGAAGATTTTGTTCAATATACTCCTCACTGTAGCAAGAAGCCAAACCAGATCCAATCCTACATATGAATCTCCCTGCTGGAGGGTTTGGACAGGAAAGTTTGGACATGAGGATTTATTTTTGTTCCAAAGTATTAACCTTTTCAGTTCAGGACTGTTGGAACTTTCAGTGGCCCTTGGCTGGGCATGAAATGCATTTCTGTCATCCTGTATTTTCTTAGGCAGGCAATGTAGATGAGCACAGGTAAAAAAGAAATGTCATCATCAAATAATGTGGACGTGCAGAGTTGACTCACTTTTCTCTTCCTGCCCTGGAACACCAAAACACATTAGCTCACTTTTTGGCAATGGGAAAGGTGAAATGGAGGACTGAGACAGACTGAAAATATCAGCTTGAGCAGGTGCATGGAGAGGAGGTGGAAATATCTTTCAGCTGTTGAATATTGATTCACATGGTTTGGAGGGCACTTTCACATTTTCCATAAGTGCTTGGAGTTCAGAGGGAGAAAATCTTTTCAAGGGTCATCAAATTTCAATCAATAAGGAAAAGAACAAGAACAGAACCACAAGCCTGTCCAAGTCTCTTCCACAACTTAGCACTATCTCATTTGAATTGCTGAGATTGGAAAGTTTCTGTTAATTAGGTTTTTTTACTATTTTCCCTTTTTGGACCTCTTTAGGACTTCAAGATTCTTACATTACTATTAAGGATTTTCCACTCTTTGGAAAAATACAAAGTGCTGAATTGTTAAAGGAAAGTAAGATAGTAAAGACCGTACCTCT